TTTCTCTTAAAATCCATTTAGTTCTTACATGTATCTCAGCCAGCGCGATTGCAAACCACGACGTTACGTTATAATAGGGACCTTTAGCATCAGGTTTTTCATGGGAAACGGCAAACCGCAAACCGCAAAATGTCACGTGATTACGGCCTTGCGGTCACGTTTGCAGTTTGCAGTGCACGTTTGAACCGCATGAAGGGCTTCCAGCGGTAAGTGATTTACGGCAAGGTTTTTTGCCACAAAAAATTGTACAGCCTCGCGTTTAAGGGTATGAACTAGCTTTTTATATCCATTTGCGATGTGTTTGTTGGATTTTTGATCTCGAATCAATGAATTATTGTTGATTTTTGGGCGATTAAAGTGATGCACTTCGACTTGATGAAAACAACATGGCGGCCCTAAACAATGAACGCGTAGTTCAAACCAATTTTATATTCCTTTCTGCTGTACTAACAAAGGAAAGTATTCTGTTCCAATCCAGAGTTAATTTTTTTTTCTATCTTGTTACTGAATTCATAACTTAACTCAGTCTCTGTTTAGTTCCTATTTTTAACGTATCACTGCGCGAATATCATTTTATTTTGCTTATTTCTTTGAGACTTGGGAGCCCAGGCTTCATAAAGCCTTCTGGTTTCTTCTGGGCTCCCTTGCAACCTTACAATTCCTATATGTATTTCTGTATTGTATTGTATTTTGACTAAATAAAAATGAACTGAACTGAACGCCTTGCTAAAGTTTGAAATCTCGGCAACGCGAAACTGCAAACGCGTAACTGCGGTTTGCGGTTTGCGGTTTACCTGATGCTAAAGGTCTCTAATAAGGGATGAGGACCAGATGAGAAAAGACAGACTGCGGACTCTATTGTAGCAAAAAAACCCTCCGTCAGCCCAGAAATGGAGTAACTGATTGGTCAATTTTACAGCTGTTGACAGATCATTGACTGGTCTGTGGTGGAGATGCAAGCGATAAAAATAGTCATGCGTCACAACTAACTGCAAACAATTACGAAACTAGTGGTAATATAATAATTGCTTGTAAACTAAAACATTTAAGGATATCTTACAGAAGGAAACTGCTGTAAATTACCTCAAGGGAAAGGAATTCAAGGCAATCGTACTGGATTTAAAAAAGGAAAATTTTTCAGTTGTTTATGTTCTATTTATACATGTATACATTGTATTGACCAACAGCTTTAAAATAAGAGGAAAAATCGTGGTATAAAAGTCCGTTTATAATATTTATTGCAATGAAAGTGAGAACTCACTGTAGAAATTTTTCGACTGGTAATTGCAGCACAAAATTTCTGTCGTGATCTAGGCCAGTGATTTCTACAGCTTGAATTGAGCGATCTAAGCGTCTACTTCACTCCAACTGATTCAATTGTCATTTCACTTATGCTGTTTCACGTCTGCTTGCGAAAAAATCAACAGTCAGTTGATGAACATTTAATGTATAGTTTGTCGATGTTTGAAAAAGGTGGATTTGTACGCAGGTAAAGAAACCGAACTTAGAAAACAGTCCATGATGCAGAGAATGATCTCAGTGAAATGTGAACCTTGCTTGTTGTTTACGTAGATGGATCATTACTCAAACATAAAAACATACGGTAGATATATGCTCTTGTTCAATAATTGCTTGTATTACACAAAAGCTGTTGGAAACTAGGCGCCTTTTTTATATTTTCAAGCACAAAAGCATCTGAAGTTCAACTGAAAGAAAGTTTTGTAACAGTGTATGATTAATATTTGTATACCATGTCATGTTGTGGTTCAATTTTTCCTCGGTGTAAGTTTTATTCTCTATTGTTTTTGGGTATAGTAATGTATGATAATGAGATCGATATAAACAAAAGGAAATAAAATTGAAACCAAGTATAAAACTTAACCACAATACATACGAAGGAACTGTTTACTCTTTGTCTCATGTCTGAAACATAAGTTACAGTGTCGACATGTGCAAGGGATTGTTCAGCAACAGATGTCAAAGATGTGGATTTTTTAGCTGATATTTTACTGTAATACATGGTTTCATTTACCCGCTCAAAGAAGTGGAATGAACTAGATTTTGAAACGATGCAACGATGATATAAAAGTGAAGCTTAATGGAAAAACTTGCTGGTTTCGCATTTTCATTGTGTGACCATTACCAGTCTTTGATTAATGAATAACCACGTTTGAGGAACATGCCTGACTTGTCTCCATGGAGTGTGGGTAAATGATGTTGGTAAAAAAAAAAAGTATAGAAAAAAAAATAAAAATAAAAACAAATAAATGAATAGAAAAAAATTGTAAAACATTAATTTTATGAATTAAAAAATCTTCTTGGGTGAATGTCATGGGTATAAAAAAAAGTATAGAAAAAGAATTAACAAATTAAATAGAAAAAAAAGTAAATAAAAAAAAATAGTGAAACATAAATCTCCACTTACACACCAGTCCCATTCCCCATCTCCGCAGACGAGCGAAGCAAATAAGCGAATCCTTAGTAGAAATGGGCATTAAAAAGGCATTTAAATTAGGTGCAAAATAAGAGAAACAATGTATTCTTTGTAAACACCTGAACAGGGCTTCTGATAATTCGCGGAAAAAAAGTCAAATTTCGCGGGACTTTTGGGGACAAAATCGCGGAAAAATCGGTCGATTTCGCGGGAATTTTCAGGGCAAACTTGGCCGGAAAGCAATCGGTAAAAAAACGGCGCACTTTGTGGTTATTTTCAGGGCAAATTTCGCAAGAAATCGATCGGTTTTGCGATGATCAGACCAGCGTTTTTAATGTTTTTCTAACAGAGGACATCATCAACAATACGCTCTAGAAGTGAACCAATGGCAAAGCCTTTAACATCATGGCTAGTGCCCAGTCTTTCGCAACATAATCTACGCCTGGTAGTTTCGGAACGTTGTTTGCACGTTTCAGTGACGAAGTTTTGACATAAATTTGCGAGTTTACGGCAAGTAAATACCCCCAGTAGCTGAGACAAGTTTCAAAATTGCTGTACAGACATGTATTTGATAAGATTTCTACCGAATTTCGCGGTATTTTGCGTGTTTTTGTGAATTTCGCGAGATTTCGCGGATTACCTGAATTTCGCGGCTCCGCGACCGCGCGAAACATCAGAAGCCCTGCCTGAAGCAGGCTAAAGAAAAACTGGGGATATAACTGTTCTTTCTCAAAGATGTCAACATTCGCGCTGAAACGTCTTGTCAGTTGAAGCAATAATATTCAATCATTACAGCAAAGATTGTATACACAAAACAAAGCAAAAGAAGAAGCAAGAAAATTATGCTGTATTTCGCGCGGATCGATACGGGTAGTAATTTTGACTTACACACCTCTTGTTTTCAAATTACCCTGTTTCATAAAATTAATATTTTGCAACTTTTTTCTATTCGTTTATTTTATTTCTTTTTCTACGCTTTTTTTTTACCCACAACATTTACCCACACCAATGAGCCAGGACCTCTACCCACGACCCACGACATTTAGCTATAATCATTCCCATGCTGAGTTAAGGAAAGATGTGGACGTGAAACATGTTGATTTTGTACATTCAGTGCCTCTGAATACTAAGCTGGAACAAACGTTTCTCCCATTAGAAGGATTTCAAAATGAACAGTTGTTGAAGTTTAATGCTAGTAGTCCCTTGTGATTTCCTAGTGCTGTTTTCGGTAAGAATTAACTGAAATTATAGCAAATGCTAAAAACTTTTTACCTGTAATTTCACTGACTTTTATAAGAAAAAAATTATAAGGAAATTTATAATTATTGTAAATTGTACTCATTCTGCTTAAATCAAGCCCGATTTCTCAAGTTGTAATTTATTTTTACGGCCAATATTTTCTCTCGTTGTGTAATTGCTACATAATCGACCTTCGCAAAAGCGTATGTTGCTTATATGCATGACTCACACAGTCATCTGGCATTAGTCCGTCAGTGCTCACATGTCCGTCACGCAGCCATTTTTCGAAACTCCAGCAGCACTTGAAGTGCAGCTAGTTAGCCATTTCTGCAACTCTTGCAAGTCACTAATGCAACGTTGCACGACTCAGCGACGCACATTTCATACAGGAAGTTGTCACTGGTGTACTATTTTCTTTGATTATAAAAGCATAAGACATGAATATTAACATTAGCTGACAACTGACGTTTGCTTATCTGTAAAATTAAATTATTTTTCAAAATTTCAGTCTTTCATAAACAACACTGCAAATTGTCATAGTACTGCTAGAGCTCTAGAAATGTTTTTGATAATGTTAATAAGAACATCAAGTATAAAATGTATTTTATAATTAAGCAATTAAGCTAGATCACACTTTGTAGACCACACCATATGAGCACTGCTGGAGTAATGCCAGATGACTGTGTGAGTCATGCATAAAAGTGTGGTCTATTGCTTTTATAAAATAACTTCAGGTAAAACTTTGAGTTTACCGGCACAATAATCCATAGGTTTTTAACCAATCAGAACATGCATACTATCTTAGTTATTTTATAAAATATATATATTATAATTTATTAGTAACTGATTATTTTGTTATTGAATGTTGCTTATCTGTAAAGTTACATAAGTCTTGTAGAAAATTTCACAATTTTTCGTAAAGAATAATGCATGCCAATTGTCATTGGTTTACTATTACAGCTCTTGAAATATTTTTGATAATATCAAGAAAAACATTCATCTATGTTTTAAGTTATGCTTTTGAGTGGATTTAATTTCATGTAATAAGATATCATTTTCTTCAAAAACTAAGGCAGTAGCCTCATGCAGTCACAGAGTGCCTTTTATTGTTGTTGTCTCTTAACCTTAAAGTACCTCTCAGATATTCAGGTGGATATACAATGTTTATTGTTTTAAACACAATAATTAACTAACTTAAACTTAACTGTGCTTACCAGTGTATTAAATAATCTTGTGTCTACCCAACAAAGTCTTTTGGTCTTGAAGAGTCTTTTAGTTTGATTCATATTGTGCTAAATATAGTGTACCAAATTTTTACTTGCTCTTCAGGAAATTTCTTGAGAATGTGCAATGCTGCACAACAACGCTCAAAACACAAGATGTTGAAACTGTTCTGAAGCCTATAAACGGGGTTCTCAATTCGGGAGGTGGCATTGTAGAAATTAAGATCGATGGCTTCTCAAAGTTAAAACCTGAAGACCTAAACAAGCATCTAGATACCTTTTGGTCAGCACTACAGCCAAAACTGATTCTAATGGTCCAGCCATCAGCATATGCTGATATCTTTGATCAACAACGTGAGAAAGACACAATTCGTCTCTTCATCAGAGCAACAGAGCATTTTTGCACAGTGGACTACAATTTGTATTTACCTGGTGATGCAGGACTGTTGCTACCCCCCAAGCAAAAAGTGGTCGCTTTATTGTCTGAGAGAGATTTATTTAAAGAGAAAACAGATAGTCCTCAGGTTCCTTTAGCAGACCTTATTTCTTTGGTTCCTGAACAATTCATGTATAAGGAGGTACTGAATTTTCATGAATCCAAACAAGTGCAGCTGAAATACTACACATCGAAAAATGAACTTTTTCACAACAATAACCGGAAGGCTCAAGATGAGATTGCAAAACACATCTCTTCCTTTGGAAATGGAATTGGAGGCGTAATTCTCATTGGTATTAAAAACAATGGGGAGGTACGTGGCCAAGGTAAGGAAACGGGTTCAAAAAAAAAGTTGGAGAGTGAATTCAAGGAGATGGTCAAAGAGATGAGTAAGACGTGGAGCTTTACGCCCACGCAGGGGAAACATTGGGATGTTACGTTCGTTCCCGTCACTGGTGCCGAAGAACCAAGGTCTGTGATAGCAATACTTATAGCTGGCATGCAGAACTTGGGTGGCATTTTCACAAAATGCCCAAAGAGCTTTGAGCTGNTTTGTATTTACCTGGTGATGGAGGACTGTTGCTACCCCCCAAGCAAAAAGTGGTCGCTTTATTGTCTGAGAGAGATTTATTTAAAGAGAAAACAGATAGTCCTCAGGTTCCTTTAGCAGACCTTATTTCTTTGGTTCCTGAACAATTCATGTATAAGGAGGTACTGAATTTTCATGAATCCAAACAAGTGCAGCTGAAATACTACACATCGAAAAATGAACTTTTTCACAACAATAACCGGAAGGCTCAAGATGAGATTGCAAAACACATCTCTTCCTTTGGAAATGGAATTGGAGGCGTAATTCTCATTGGTATTAAAAACAATGGGGAGGTACGTGGCCAAGGTAAGGAAACGGGTTCAAAAAAAAAGTTGGAGAGTGAATTCAAGGAGATGGTCAAAGAGATGAGTAAGACGTGGAGCTTTACGCCCACGCAGGGGAAACATTGGGATGTTACGTTCGTTCCCGTCACTGGTGCCGAAGAACCAAGGTCTGTGATAGCAATACTTATAGCTGGCATGCAGAACTTGGGTGGCATTTTCACAAAATGCCCAAAGAGCTTTGAGCTGCAGGATGGTTCTGGAGGTGGTGGAGCAGAGAAGGTTGTCCTCCTTAATTTTAGTCAGTGGAAGCAGAGAATGCTCAAAGACACATGCAAAGGTGAAAGTAAAGGTGAGTACATTCAGTTAATAATGGCCATCACTGATTACCTTACCTAAGGTGATAAGTAATTTTCTCAAGGAAAAAAGTGATTGTTAGTAGTTCCATTAGCCTGTTTGTGAGTGGCATGGATTTGAAGTGGAAGAGAGAAAGTGAAAGAACGGGAGAATGGGATGGACATGCACGGAGGCGAGAAAGGCTCAACATGTGCTTATCCAGGTTCTCATGCACCTTGATTCCCTCCACTTCAAATTTGGTCCAACTCACACATGTCCTCGAATCCTGACCACCCCTCAACCTGCTGATAACATGGTAATCTTCTGCTAGCACACACCTTTTTCCATGTTGTTGACATTTTTGTTGATAACAATTGACAATTTATTGGCTGATTAAATAATGCACTAGCTAGTATACACTTTATTATGCCACAGTGCACGTGGTTAGGTTGAAAATTCCAGAAAATTATTTTCTTCTTTCTTATCGAAGAAGCGGATTCTAGTCTGTGTTTGAAAATTTTAATCACAGTACACAATAAAGAAGACAAAAATCGACTGACCGAGATTCGAGATAAGAGAAAACAAGTGATTCCTTCAACAAATATTAGCAAACATACCTGCTCCTGATCATCTAAACAAGCTCCTTGGCCATTTGCAGTGTTTTTTTCAAAGACCAATGAAAGAAAGATAGAAGCGACTTCGAGCCAGACACAATGTCCAGTTTTTGAAAGACTCCAGCGTCACATTAGCGAGCGAATGACGGACTAAACTTTTTCAACATGGCACATTTGCATCTAAATTTTGCTTTCTACGGTGGCCTAAAAGGCTCAAACACAAATCAATTTCCCAAAACACGTAACAGTTTCCCAAAACACAAATTAATTTCCCAAAACACAAATATGTTTTCCAAAACACAAATCAATTTCCCGAAACACAAATCAATTTCCCAAAACACAAATCAATTTTCAGAAGACTGGGCACTACATTTTTATGAACGAGATGGCCTGGAAAGAAGAGTGATGAACTCGGGTCTAGGGTCTTTCGCGTCCAATATGGCGACTACATGTCACTCGTGCAACTTTGTGTCCTTTTAGTCCTAGTAAGATGTTTTGCGGTCACTACGGCAGTGTTGTGAAGGACACTTTTAAATTTTGCGTAAAGTGTGGAAATTCTACGTCCAATAACTCTGAAACTCGTTCTTCCGCGTCCGATTCGACCAGCAGTAGGAAAGGGAGAGCTGTGTGTGCTACATCTGGAATTGCCAAATCTGATTTAACCTTAATTTCTTCTAAGCCTGTTCCTACTTTGGACACCTTTATGAACAATAAAAAAGGAGAGAGAAAGTCGCACTCCAAAAAAAGAGCAAGAAGACTAAGAGGATGACTGAGAAAGAAGACCCACCTGTAACCGTCAACATTGGCATCATGCGATATATTGAAGAGGAAAATATGCTCAAGCCCCAATGAGGCAAATCTCTTCCTGTAAGAATTGGTAGAACAGCGGATGGGGAGGAGCTATTAAAGTTAGCAGTAGCAAAGCACTCGAAGCATAATGCTAATGAAACAAGAATCGCCGAAAGGCGATTTTTAACTGGGCTGCAAAGGGGCTATTTTTTCTGAAGGGAGGGGGCGGCTATACACACTCAGGCTACCATAAAACCTTGTCGGCAACCATTGCACGCGACAGAACCTCATGTGAGACTGAAACATACTCATTCAGAACATTGTACCCTTTTGAAAGACTTTCGTAACCAAAAAAAAAAGTACCATTTTTAAGTGGGGGCTGTATAATAACTTTTAAATTCCACCATTCTGAATAAAAATAAACAAGTTAGCCATTAATTCTAAGCAGGAAACAATTTGCATTATTTCCACGTACCCCTCCCCCAATCCCTCTGTGCCCCAAAATATAGCGTGACAGTATAACGTGACTAATTTGA